ATTTACCCTAAAGCCATATTTACTTTCTGTGTTAAGATATTCAATTGCTTATATCCTATACAATGAGCACTGGCACAGAAATCAGAAGCATCACTCATGTTTTATTCCCTAATCTCCATCCTTGCTATTTTTATGTGACGATATCTGAGGACACTTCTTTTTCTGCTGCTTCTCTTTCTATGTTACACCTTTTCCCCCATTTCCTTGGTGCATCTTTAGATGCATTCCCCACCTCCTCTAGTTGGCAATTTTGAAAGCAGACTGGCCAATTTCTCGTCAGTTGCTCCTCTATGAAATGCAAGCTCCTTCTTGCTTGCAATATTCTAGAATACTAAGTTCAGGTCCAAATCAATTAAATCCAGCTTTGTTATCACCTATATGGCAAGTGGTTGTTCACTTTTTCATCCCCTTTTCTCCTCTAAAGTCAGCAACTTCAGCTGTCAGAAAATAAGATCACCTCCACACAAGTGAGAGCAAACATGTAGACCTGAATATTTAAAGACCAACATGAGAATAGGTAGAAAAAGCAGCAGGAATCTCTGGAAGCCAAAGTTGGCACAGATTCATCAGGAAATGCATGCCAGACTCACTTCTATTGGATAAGCATGGCTGGCCTGGTGGTTTTGGACTTTAACAGAACATATGACTAAGACTCTCGTGACACTTTTATGGACAAGCTATATTGAGTTAGATAAGGACATAATTAGATATAGTCATGCCTGGTTGGACAATCTTAATAAAAACCTTATAACTGATTGGTATTTAGTAGCCTTGTCTTCACAAACTTACATAAAGCTGCCCAACGCAAGTATATCAAATTTGGGGATGACTGCAAATATTGTACATGAAGTGAGATTCTAAAATTATCTCAGTATTTAAAAAAAAAAAATCTGCATCACCTAAAAGCCAGTAGGAGGTCAATATCTCAGCATGTGGTTTATAGAAGAAATACAGAAAACTGCTTCCCTCTGTACTTTTCATCCAAATAAAATGCATGGTGCGCCAGAAGTTTAAGGTCAGGCATGAGTGTGTGGCCAAGCTAATGACACTAAGGCTTCTCAATCATGTAACCTATTATGGTGTGGAATTCTTTGGAATGCTAATTCCAACTTGGAACAGGCTCAGGGGTTTTCACTGCCTTTATTACTTTATAAATCTGCCCGAGTGAGGAGCTCCAGTGTGAGGAGTGAGGGTCAATAAACAAATTCTGCACTCTCTGACATTCTGCTGTTTCTAAGAGACTCTTAAGATGTGTCACGATTTCACAAACAATAAAGAGCTGTAAAATACCAGCTACATGAAAAGCTAGGGTATGTGATGGCATAGAGCTTCACTGGCTTTATCACAATATTCACAATGCATACTCTATTACATGGCAGCAGAAATAGGCTATTTTTATTTGTTGCTTATATAATCAGCCCTTCTTATACCTGTGGATTCAACCAATGGCATATTTGGGAAAAAAGTTCCAGAAAGTTCCAAAAGTTCCACATCAAAATAAATAAATAAAGGCCCGGCAGAGATGAGTACTATAACCTTTGTGTTCTAAACACTGTAATCCTAGGTCCTTCTTCAACTGACAGTTGAGATGAAAGATAGCCACAGGGCATTATGAGATAGGGAGGAGGCACCCTGGCATGTTCACATGGAAGGAAAATCATGTTACATCAAATTATTTCCTACCAGAGGTGTCTAGGAATGAGAGCAAACGTTCCTAAGGGCCAGCCATCCAGCATCTTCTCTTTGAGAGGTGTGAAAGGTGAGGGAGCTCCAGGATGAAACTGCTACTTATACCCGGAAGCGTATCTGACTCCCAAGGGGCTGAAAAACAGCTGGTTGTGCTACAGTACCTGGAGACTCAGTCATACACGGGATGATCATCACTGAAGACTAATTCCAAAAAGAAGCCAGCCTGTGAGTGAATGCACATCACTATGCCTGCCTGAGCACCTTTATTTTTTTTTTATCTTTACTCATTTATTTGCCTGCAGGTCTTAGCTCTGGTCTTGGCGGCAGCACGCAGAATCCTTGTTACAGCCTGTGGGATCTCTCACTGCGGCCCACAGGCTCTGGGGCGTGTGGGCTCAATAGTTGCAGCTCACGGGCTCAGTTGCTCCTCGGTGGGATCTTCGTTCCCAGACCAGGGGTCGAAAGCTCATCCCCTGCATTGCAAGGCAGATTTTTAACCACTGGAACCAGTCAATCCTTAAGGAAATCAGGCCTGAATACTCATTGGAAGGACTGATGCTGAAGCCGAAACTCCAATACTTTGGCCACCCAACGCAAAGAACCGACTCATTGGAAAAGACCCTGATGCTGGGAAAGATTGAAGGCGGGAGGAGAAGGGGACGACAGAGGATGAGATGGTTGGATGGCATCACTGACTCAATGGACATGAGTTTGAGTAAACTCAGGGAGTCGGTGATGGACAGGGAGGCCTGGCGTGCTGCAGTCCATGGGGTCGCAAAGAGTCAGACATGACTGAGCAACTAAACTGACTGACATCAGGGAAGTTCCCTGAGCTGCTTCATCTTGATTGAAAAACACATTTACTAGGTGTTGAATTGAGACTAATAAGACAGCCATAAAGACTTGAGTTACTCCAGCTCCAATTCTAACATCTTGGTCTCCCTTCTGCTATGTATGGCCTGCATATGGCTTTGGGGGCTGTTTTAGAGATTTTAGTGGAAAAGTACCAAGCAATGTGGATTGAATCTGATTTTGTTTTAAATTCCCAGTAGCTTCCAAGCGGTTGAGATTGAAATGGTATAATTGATTTTAAGCAAATCTAGGACCTCTTTTGTTCTGTAGGCCCAAAATTAGTAACGAATTTTATATTCTCCAAGATTTAATCCAGGGTAGCTGTTTGGGTTCTAGAATTATCTGAAACCAAGATTGGTGTTTTCACCATTGTCCCCGTTTATTTCCATCTCATTTTCCTCTTCCTCTGTGAAAGGAAGCAGGCCTGCCTGGTTCCCCTCTCTACTCCATCAGTATCTCTTACCAGGCTTCACAAACTCACTAGAGCAAGGTGCTTATCTGGATCCTTGGTCCCATGAGGTTTAGATAACACAACCTGTTTTTACAGATACTTGGAAAACAGAAATGACAACATTCCTTTCCTGACAGGGCTCCCTAAGCCTCTTCCTTATTTTTCTTTTTGGTACAATAATGAAGGCTGACAGGGCTTCTTGACACCACTAGTGGTAAATGAATTTTTCAATAAGGACTAACAGAAAAACTGCAGAAGTTCAGATTTATTTTTTTGACCTAAAGAGTCCTCTATCTCCTTATGCCTTTTCTTTCTATGCATGATCAGTTGCTCAGCTGTGTCCAACTCTTTTGCACCCCTATAGATGGTAGCCCAGCCAGGCTTCTCTGTCCATGGGATTCTCAAAGCAAGAATACTGGAGTGGGTTGCCATTTCCTCCTCCAAGGGATCTTCCCCACCCAAGGATCAAACCTGGGTCTTCTGTGTCTCCTGCATTGCAGGTGGATTTTTTACCACTGACTCACCAGGAAGTCTCCTTTCTACATATACTTTATGAAAAATGTCAGCAAAAGCATCTTAAAATTAATCCAGTAGCTGTCTCCTTCAAGTCTCCTTCCTGGAACTCTTCAGGTATCAACATCAGGTCCTGGCCACTTCTTAAGGGCCCCTTATCCCAAAACATTAAAGGCAGCACAGGAAATTCAAGCCTTATCCTGAAGCTTACCTTTGTAAACTTAGCAACACTTCCTGCTTTTCACATAAGAAAACTTAAAGGGAGTCAGTCTCAACTGTGAATTGGATTCTGTCCCATTTCTCCCCCAAACTGGGAAGAAGCTGGTCAAATACTTGCATGTTTGTACTATAAATATTCAAAGACTCTAACCTGGTATCTTCCATATAATACACATTTTAACTCCTACTTTAAACTTTCAGAATGCTTTTTATGGCGTCTGTTATGCCCTACTTTAAAATGTCTGTCAACCTAATATTTTTACTCTTTTTCCTTTATTCATTTATCTTCAAGGTCATGCGTGGAAACACCTTTCAGTGGAAAGAACCCATCTGCTTTGGCAAAAATGCACGCTATAAACCTTCATTTCTGCAAGGGTATAAATAAATAAATAAATAAATAAATAATCCGAGAGTCTGTTAAATGCCTTCAAAGCAGAGTTCCCTAAAGCCTGCTGCCTGCAACACTGGTACCAGGAGTTGATGTGGCAAACAAAACAAAAACCGGGGATGGGGAGAAACGGCATTCAGAAGCTACCCTCTTTAAAATTCCAAGTGCATGGCAGCATTGCAAAGGGCTGTAGGCATTCTAAAGAAAAAGGTATTTGTTTCTTTTTATTTAACCGCTTATTTCTCAAACTTATTTGATTACAGACTCTTTCCCTGTATGAACAAACAAATGATAACACACTGCTATACTAGGGTTCCACACTACACAGTTTGGAAACTGTGCTAGATGATGCTATTTTTTCCTTCAAAAACTCAAAATTCTTCATTTTTCAAAATTTTTATTTGTTTATTTATTGCTTGCTGCACTGGGTCTTCAAGGCTGTGAGAAAGCTTCCTCTAGTTGTGATGAGCAGGCCCTACTCTCATGGGCTTCTCACTGCGGGGGCTTCTGTTTTTGCGGAGCACGGCCTCCAGAGCCAACGGGCTTTAATAGTTGAGGCTCACAGGTTTGGTTGCACCATGGTACGTGGAACCTTCCCCGACTGGGGAATCGAACCCATGTTCCCGGCATTGACAGGCAGATTCTTAACGACTGTACCACCAGAGAAGTCCCTACTCTTCATTTTTCCAAAAAGGATAATTTCAGTGCATTCCCGTACTGGAAAATAATCTCGAGATAGAAGTACAACTCACTTCTTTCTCACACTGTATTTACAGGGGTATCTAAGGTTCATCTCACAAATAGGAAATTTCCAAGTGACTAGTTGGTTCTTATAAGTAAACACAAAAGCATATCTTCTTTAAAAAAACAAAAAACCAAAAACCTCACCTGAATTGTCAACAGCTCACCGGCTGGGGGTAAATTATCAATTAATCACAGTCACATCTTCAATGTTCATGTCTCACTTGCCTTTCCTTATTTTTCTTGGTCACACTTAAGGTACTTCCTCTTGTATGTACTTCTGACTCCTAAATAAAAACTAAAAATTTTATTTATTATTCCCCTCATTAAAAAAATCATAATCAATGATATGCCAGTAAGACAAAGCAGGTAGAAATATTCCTTCTGACATCCTTTTTTAGTTGATTTAACCTCTCTCACCTCCTCATTTGTGACATGGAGGGTCACCCAACATCACAGACAAGTAAGTATTCTGTGAGATCCTGTGTCTAAAGCCCCCAGCTTGGTCAACAGCAATCTTGACACTTTAGCAGTCATAAACTGCCCTCCCATGATGTCTTCACAAACTTTTTCCAGTCATACCTGGAATCTCTGGAATTCCCTTCCATTATTCCCAAACCCAACTTTTTCATCCTGCAACTTTCCCTACAACTTCTCTACTGACAGATCTTGCTTTAGAAATGTTAGAATATGTCAGATGATTAGAAAACCTGTAGGAGGAACAGTCTATCCCCCACCCCAGTTCATCTGACCAAGGTTCCTCAGCTCCTGAAATATTAACACATCTCCCCCAACGCTAACTCCCACTTATCAGCTCCACCAAGAACACTCTTGATGTATTCACACAACCCTTTGTTAAAACATTTTCCTTCTTGAACACCTCTTCCTCATGTCTCTGATTAACCCTTTCCCATGAAACAGGTCTATGATTCTAATTTTCCTCTAATGAGTTCACATAGACATTCGCACGTTGTACTTACTGATGCACATTTTCACTCTTCCTTTTTACACATGTTTTAATTGAGATAATTGACACATTGCATGGTACTGGTTTTAACTATACAAGAATGATTTGATACATGAATATATTGTGAAATGCTCACCACAATGTATATGTGCTCAGTCCCTTCAGTCAGGCCCACCTCTTTGCGAGCCCGGATCCTCTGTCCATGGGATTCTCCAGGCAAGAATACTGGAGTGGGTTACCATGCCCTCATCCAGGGGATCTCCCAACCCCAGGGTCGAAACCCTGTCTCCTTCATTACAGGCAGATTCTTCACCGACTGAACCACCAGGGAAGCCCAGTCATCACGGTAAGTTTAGTCAATATCCTTCACAACCGCAGTTACACAACTTTTTTCTCTTGTGATGAGAATTTTTTAAGATCTACTCTGACAGCAACTTTCAAATATACACTACAGTATTGTTAACTATAATCACCATTCACTATGGCTTTTATTCCTGCAGCTACTTTTCTCACAAACATAAGTTCTTTATGGGGAGTGAATGTATCAGTTTTTCACTCTGCCCAGAGTGGAAGTGTAAAAACTTTTGATTGATCCAATTGCCTGGTGAATCCCATGGACAGAGGATACTGGCTGGCTACAGTCCATGTCACTGAGAGTCAGACACAACTGAAGCGACTACGAACACCAATACTACACACTTTCATTCCTAAGAGTTATATTTATTTTTTTACGTTTTAATTGGAAGATAATTGCTTTACAATATTGGGTTGGTTTCTGCTGTACAACAACTCAAATCAGCCATAATTAGTATATATGTGTGTGTGTGTATATATCCTCTCCTTCCTGAGCCTAGTGTTACATTTACTTTGGAATAAATTACACATGGGACAAAAAATATTAATTGAGGGATACAGCCAAATTAGATTATAGCAAAGTTGGGGTGGTTACTTAGGGGCAAAAGTTGTATACCAAATAACTGTGAAGCTTTGATTTATTTGGTTGTTGGTTTGTGCCTTTGTTCTGCTATTCAGGATATAGTTTATTTACAAAATGTGTTCAGGAATACTCAAGGTTTATCTGCCTGGAATCTTCCCAATCATTTTAGGTATAGGTAACATATGTCTAGCTACAGCCTTCACTAGGATTCTGAAAGCTGAATCCACTCAAGGGAGACTCAAGAACTTCTCTCTCTTTAAAAAGGAGACCATGGTAAATCCATGGCTGATTCATGTCAATGTATGGCAAAAACCACTACAATACTGTAAAGTGATTAGCCTCCAACTAATAAAAATAAATGGAAAAAAAAAAGAGAGACCATGGGCGACAACCCCTAGGCATGAGGTCAGTTCAGTTCAGTTGCTCAGTCGTGTCCGACTCTGTGACACCATGGACTGCAGCACGCCAGGCTTCCCTGTCCATCACCAACTTCCGGAGCTTTGCCGTGCTCTTCCACTGGAGAGGGGAATGGCAAACCCCTTCAGTATTCTTGCCTTGAGAACCCCATGACCATGAAAAGGCATGATGTGTGGAGATAAAGAGGCCTGGTTGCCTTGGAGCCCAAGAGCCCTCAGGCTCAATGTTCGTCTCACTGTTGAGTGTTGGCTGTGGCCCCGGGTCACGGGAATCCTGATGAGAGCTGCGACTTCTGGCAGCAGCTTAGGGGAGAGACTCTAGTTGACCACATGAATGGGATGTGATTGGTCCTCCATCCTGCAGGAGGTGGTCAGCCCCATGCAATCCTCTCAGCACTTTCGGCAAGCAGGCTTTTCAAGCACTGTGCCCTCTGCACAGAGGATGCCTGCCTTTCATGTTCTTGGCACATGCCCTGGGTAGTGGTGGAGGTTTTCCCCTAATTTTGGCATAGTGCCCAATTCTACATTATTGGGATACAAATGAGCAGCCTGATAAAATAGTAACCTTGAGTGTGCTCTCATTTTGGGGTCAAAAAAAGTAAACCACTCGCAAATCTGGAACTTTTCTTAGCAACACATTACTCGGGGACCCATCTAACTCACTCTGGGTTAAAAGTCACTGTGATCACTGGCAGCCCCTGGGAAGATTAATGCAAGGTTAATCCAAGGATATTATTATCCTGGTCACCCAGGTGACAGTTATTGCGAACTCCTGTTCTCACAAGAAAAGAGAACTGGTTTCTGTCGCAAACTATGCACAGTGCTGGGTGATTTCCATTTGTCACATCACCTGAGCAATTTTCAGAAACGGAGGTTCTGGTAGGTTCCACAGCTATATCCAAAAGTGAGATGTAAGTCATCAGGTTTTCTCAAAGTCTGAGTCCTTTACGATCAATGCACGTTGCCGCCCTATTACCTAAGTCCTCTAAAGAAGCAAACCCATGTAATGCCCATATGGTCTCCATTAAATCTTCTGGCTACTGGATCGATTTTTCTCACTTCTTACCTCTGGGGTTGGCATGTATGGCCTATTTTTTTCTCCACTCTTGTTATTCCATAAAATATAGGAATATTCTTTTAACTGAGTCCTTGTGGCAGTCTTGGAATTACCATCAGTCTTCAAAACAAGTCATGTAAACCAGCTGCCAGCAGTGTTCTCTGGTTAAACATTTAACATTAGTATTATTGTCGCATAGAATTATTCCTGAAATACACTAAGCTTATTTGTAAACTATCTCTTATCTGAAGCTGAAGGCTGTCTCTGAAGTAGCTTTGTGTAGTAACTACAGAGGACTAATTTTTAAANAAGCTTATTTGTAAACTATCTCTTATTTGAAGCTGAAGGCTGTCTCTGAAGTAGCTTTGTGTAGTAACTACAGAGGACTAATTTTTAAAGTATCGTATTGCTTGAAGATATATGAACTCTTAGATGCACTAGTGAAATTAAGATCCGTGAATGAAGCAGTAACCTAAGAAACAGGGCAAATAAAACGTCGCAAACTCTATTTACACGAAGAACTGTTAGCTATGTGCAGTTAAATTCAGACATGTTAAGAGTTAATTATTCATTTAAAATTTTCTTTATGGCTGCTCATTAACAAGAAAGAAAAAAAATCCAATGATGTGAAAAACTGCATCCATTCTTGAGAGAAAGAATTTTGTTGTGAAAACTTGAATGCCATGTACAGTTTAGACTTTTGTAGATACTGAAGGCTGAAGTGGAGATGAAGAAATATATAATGCCTTCTGTCTTGCTGCTGCTGCTGCTAAGTCGTTTCAGTCACGTCCGACTCTGTGCAACCCCACAGACTGCAGCCCACCAGGCTCCTCTGTCCCTGGGATTCTCCAGGCAAGAATACTGGGGTGGGTTGCCATTTCCTTCTCCAGTCTTCTGTCTTAGAGAAGGCAAAAAGAAATGAGAGAAACACGCAACTCAAGATCGACTTCTGGTCCACAAAGAGGAATCAGCATGAATTTCTAGAAAGGAAGATGTGTTGAGAAGCATGTGACACTCTCAGATACGTCACAGTATCTGTCATAACAGCTAACACTCAGCCCGCCAGCACCTCTACAGAAGGTACCATAATTTACAACACTATTAGAAATCTGGAGTAAGCAAGACATCTGAGTATTCAACTGACAGGCAGTCAAAGAAACCACTCTGGTTACATAGGAAGCAGGCTGGTTTCAAAAGGACATGAATAAAAGGTGGCAAGAATCTACCCTCAAGAATAACTAGCAGAGTAGCTTAAATGCGCAGAGAAGGAAATGGCAACCCACCCCAGTGTTCTTGCCTGGAGAATCCCAGGGACAGGGGAGCCTGGTGGGCTGCCGTCTGTGGGGTTGCACAGAGTCGGACGTGACTGAAACGACTTAGCAGCAGCAGCAGCTTAAATGTGAGGGTAGTTTTAGGGGTTCTGACATGGACTGAAATGAATTCCTCCCAAATTCATATGCTGCAGCCTAGTTCCCGGGACCTTAGAATGTGACTACATGAGGGATAGGGGGTCTCAAAGGGGTGCTTAAATTAAAATCAGGTCATTAGAGTGGACCCTAATCCAATCTGAGCAGGGTCCTTATAAGATGAGGAGATTAGGACATGTAGAAACAGAAGCCAAGGGTGTGCATTCACAGAGGAAAGACCCAGTGGGGACACAGCAAGAGTGGCCATCAGTAAGCCAAGGACAGAGGCCTCAGAGGAAACCAGCGCTGAGAGCACCCCGATTTTGGACTTGTACCTCCTGGAACTGAGAAAACAAATTTATGTTGCTTAAGCCACCCAGTCTGTGGTGTTTTGTTATGACAGCTCTAACAAACTAATACAGATTTTAAATGTCAATATAAGCTTAAGCTTTGCTAAAAATGATCAAAGAAGAAATGTAAAAGAACATTAAATTTACTTGCAGAACCAGATGATCTTGGTTAAGCTGGTTGCTTGGATAAGCTAGTTGCTGGGATCATGATGCAACATCAAGGAACTATGGAAGGAAAGTAGAATTCCTCAATTTCTTTCTATTGAGCTGAATGATCTTCCAATTGACAAGAGCAGATGAACCACTGATCACTGGTACTAAATGTCGAAGAACAGTGGCAGGATTATACAGCAAGTCCTAGCTGTTCTAAATGACCACCTGTTCTAGAATGAATTGTGTCCCCATCCCCCTGATCCAAATTCCTATGTTGAAGTCTTAACCTCCAGTAACTCAGAATTTGACTATAACTGGAGGCAGGGTCTTTTTTTAAAAAATCTTCTGGCCATGCTGTGCGGCAAGTGGAATCTTAGTTCTCCAACAAAGTGATGGACCCCTAGTCCTCTGCACCGGTAGTTCAGAGTCTTGACTACTGGGTAAGCTCCAGAGACAGGGTCTTTAAAGAAGTAATTAAGTTAAAATGAGGTCTTCAGGGTGGCCTCTAATCTAATACAACCTGTGTCTTTAGAAGAGAGAATTAGCGCACAGACAGGCAGAGAAGACCATGGGAAGGCAGAGGGAGATGGTGCCCATCTGCAGGCGGAGAGAGGCCCCAGAGAAAATAAACCTTTTGAACACCCTGATCATGGACTTCCAGCTTCCAGAACAGTGAGAAAATAAACTGCTGCTGTTTAAGCTGCCCAGACTGTGATACTTTGTTACGGTAACCCTAGCCAACTAATACAGCCCCCACCTTCTGGCTCATACCACTGCTTTTGAAGGAAATAAAACTCCTAGAAGAAAATACAGGCAAAACACTTTGACATAACTTGTAGCCATGTATCTTTTTGGATCTGTCTCCTAAAGCAAAGGAAATAAAAGCAGAAATAAACAAATGGGACCTAATTAAACTTAAAAAGCTTTTGCACAGCAAAGGAAATCCTTGACAAAACAAAAAGACAGCCCACAAAATGGGAGAAAGTATTTGCAAATGATATGACTGATAAGGGATTAATATTTAAAATGTATAAACGGTTCATACTACTCAATATATATTTAAAAAAATCTCATTAAAACATGAGCAGAAGACCTGAATAGACATTTTTCCAAAGAAGACATACAGATGGCTAAAACTCACAAGAAAAGATGCTAGACATCATTAGTCATTAGAGAAATGCAATTTAAAACCACAATGAGATATTACCTCATACCTTTCAGAACAGCTAAAGCAAGAAAGAAGAACACAAATCAAAAAGAACACAAATACCAAGTGTTGGTAAGGATATGGAGAAAAGGGCAGCCCGTACATGTTGGCGGGAATGTAAATGGTGCAGCCGCTGTGGAAAACAGAACGAAGGTTTCTCAAAAAACTAAAAATAAAAGTACCATACGACCCAGCAATTCCACCCTTGAGTATATACCCCAAAAGTGAAAATACTAATTCAAAAAGACACACACACCCCGATGTTCACAGAAGCATTACAAGCATTATTTACAACAGACAAGATAATGGAAGCCACCTAAGTGTCCAGCAACATGTGAATGGATGATGGGGTACGCACACACACACCCACACACTCACACACACACACACACACACACTCAAGCCACAGAAAAGAAGGAAACTTGGCTATTTGCAATAACATGAATGAACTTGGAGGGTATTATGCTAAGTGAAATAAATCAGACAGAGAAAGACAAATACTGCATGATATCACTCATATGTGGAATGGAAAAAACAAAACAAACTAGTGAATGTAACAAAAAAGAAACAGATTCGTGGCTAAAGAGAACAAACTAGCCGTTAGCAACTCGGGAAGAGAGGAAGGGCAAGACCCGGGTAGGGGGTTAAGAGGTACAAACTACTACATATAAAATAAGTGAGCTACAGGGATATACTGTACAACACAGTGATGTTCACAGAAGCATTACAAGCATTATTTACAACAGACAAGATAATGGAAGCCACCTAAGTGTCCAGCAACATGTGAATGGATGATGGGGTACACACACACACACCCACACACTCACACACACACACACACACACACACTCAGCCACAGAAAAGAAGGAAACTTGGCTATTTGCAACAACATGAATGAACTTGGAGGGTACTATGCTAAGTGAAATAAATCAGACAGAGAAAGACAAATACTGCATGATATCACTCATACGAGGAATGGAAAAAACAAAACAAACTAGTGAATGTAACAAAAAAGAAACAGATTCGTGGCTAAAGAGAACAAACTAGCCGTTACCAAGTCGAGAAGAGAGGAAGGGCAAGACCCGGGTAGGGGGTTAAGAGGTACAAACTACTACATATAAAATAAGTGAGCTACAGGGATATACTGTACAACACAGGAATATGGCCAACATTTTACAATGCCTATAAATGGAGTATAACCTTTACAAACTGTGACTATCACACTGCACATCTGCAACTTATATTACAAGTCAACTATACCCCAATAAGGGCTTCCTTGGGGGCTCAGACGGTAAAGACTCTGCCTGCAATACAAGAGACCCGGGTTCAATTCCTGAGTCGGGAAAATCCACTCCAGTATTCTTCCTGGAGAATTCCATGGACAGAGGATCCTGGCGAGCGACAGTGTACAGAGCTACAAAGAGGTGGACATGACTGAGCAACTAACACACACACACACACACATACGCCAATTAAAAAAAAAAAAAACATTGTTTTTGGTGATATTTGCAGGGCACAGATAACACCCTAAACATAAGGTGACAGCGATGCGACTCAGCAGCAGTGTGCCTAAAACAGATGGGAGGGTTGGTAGCACATGTGACCAATTCGAGTCCACCCAATGCAATCCAACACTCACCTGCAGGCTGAGGTGGGCAACGGACTCCTTCACATTGCAGTGACCGCAGCAGCCCCGGAGCCCTGTGAAAAGACGAGACAAACCACAGTCAGAGGGGTGTGGAAGGAACCAGAAACAGGGGCCACCGTGCCACTGCCACAGCTGGTGAAGGAGCTGGTGAAGGTGTTACTTTGTGAAGACAGGACCCTGGAGTAACAGGAAAACTGCTGGTTTTATCGATGTGGAGGTCTGTGGTGTGGAAAAGACTGGCTTGGCTTGGTCACAGAAGCGCAAGAGGGACATCTGAGTGGCAGGTTAAAGGAAAAGGATGTGGGCTTTAAGTGGCGTTAAGACTTTTCGAGGAACCAGAGCAGTCCAAAGACAGATGCATTGTCTGGAGAGCTGGTGAATGTCTCCTAAGCTGGGCCTTTGGGTCTGGCCTGGAAATGTGGAGATCGAAGCCAGTGGGTGGGTAGTCCCTTTCCCAGCGTTCACAGTTCTAAGGGGAGACATTCTGGTATTTACTCCTCAGAGGATCCTGCAGACAACCTCGGGGCAGGAAATGGCATTAAACGCAGAACAGGGACACTGGCTGAAAAGCAAAACCAACAGGATCTCTGAGTGGTGATGAAGCAGGAAAAAGAGTGAGGAATGACCATCATTCTGACACAGTCAGCAGCTAATCATCTTTCCTCGGGGAAGATCTTTTCCAGGGATAGGTGAGTGAGGTGCATCTCAACAGTGGGAAGGGAATATGCCACACCAAAGGACTTGTATTTTCAGAGATTATAACCTCACCTCTCTATTTTTTAGTTTTGTGCTCAATAAAAGTCCCTTAACTCTTAAAAAAAAAAACGCTTCCTCCCTGCCAGGACTAGCTCCAGGGACATGCAGTCTGGTGGGTCATACATGGCCCCATGCTCAGGGCACCATGCGTGGTTCACGTTCTGCTATTACCATCTTAAAATTCTTAATTTGGGAACAGAGGGTCCCACTGTTTAGTTTTGTGCTGGACCCTGTAAATTCTGTAGGTGGCCCGGCTCCCTCCCCATCTTTAAGTCATACTCCTATTTGCATGCAGATGCCCTCAGTAGATATCATAAACCTAGGACAGACAGAACTGTAGTGGTGGGTCAACATGTCTGGAAGAACATGTTTTTGCTGAGACTGGGGCTTTTTTTCCCCTGCAGTCCCAACTACTTGTCACTTACTTGCTGTCAGATTTAGAAGGTCTTCAGAGTCCTCATTTATAAATGGGAAGAATAACAGTAAGGGCCTCATGGGCTTCCATGGAAAGGAAATGACATAAAGCTTGTCAACAAATGGACTTCCCTGATGGCTCAGTGGTAAACAATTCACGGGTTCGGTCCCTGGGTTGGGAAGATCCCCTGGAGAAGGAAATAGCACCCCACTCCAGTATTCTTGCCTGGGAAATCCCACTGCCGGAGGAGCCTGGTGGGTCACAGACCCTGGGGTCGCCAAGAGTGGAAGTGACTGCGCAACTCAACGATAACAACAAAGGTAAACAATTCGAGGCAACGAATTATTTGTCGTTATTTGTGGAGGGCCTTCAAAGGTCATTCACGGGAGAAAGTAATCCACGAGTCAGGCTTGGATGCCTAGGGGGCTGAAGACAGACGACTACATGTAAGGCAGCCGGCAGAGAGACTCCTCCGGAGGAAGCAGGCACCCTCTGGCGGAGCTAAGACCCCACCTCGGACTCCGTGGCTTCTTTCCCTTCCCCCAGGCCGGCTGGGGACCCTGCCTTGGTGACTGCGGCCCCTTTAGGTCAAGAGCAGGGGATACATTTGGGCAGTTCTAGACCATCTAGTTTCACTAGACACTGACCCGACACTGGATGGCTGGTGTTTAATTGAGGAGAAAGTGGCTTCCCAGAAGGTTCATTTCTGTGATTTAGGACAGACACAAGCAAGAACAAGGACAGAGCTTGAGCTATTGGGGTCGAACGGGAGTCATCTTTCCAGACCCTTCCCCTCTTAACTTTCACTTCACCGCATCTCAGATGATATTACATCCCTGCCTGATTAAAAAACACCACCACCACCACCCATATGGTCTTCCCTTTCTCAAACCAAAACAATTTTTTTTTTTTTTTTTTAAACAAAATCTTCTCTCAAGGAGAACTAAATAGGTCGCCGCTTCTTCTCCAGGTCCGGCGCCTTTCTCCTTCGGTTCGGTCTAAAGATAGAAATTCCAGGTTCCTCGTGGCTGCATTTGACTGGGGCGGGGCGCGGTGGGGTGGTGGTGGGGGGGTAGGCTTTTGCTCTCCTAACAAGCAAAGAAATCCTATTTCCTTTAAGCTTGTCGCCTTCTCTTGCAGAAACGCCTCCTCGACCTCTCCAAACCGAGACAGACAAAAAAAAAAAAAATTCGAAATGTGGATTAAAACGCACCCAACAGCAGTCCTTTCTACGACACCCCCGAGAGGCCTGCAGGTCCGATGAGTCAAGCTCGCGGGGAGCGCCCTCGACTTTTCTGGAACCCAGACGTCCTAGGACTCCCCTTGCCCGGCCCCAGCTTTCTCCCTCCTACTGCTCGGGGGCCCGGGTGGTCGCGGCCCGGGAAGGCGCGCGCGGGGAAGCCGCACCTGTGGGCGCCTTGGGGGGCGCGGGCCCCTCCCGGCCGAGCGGGCGCAGCTCCCCGGCGGCTCCGCTAGGGGTCTCTCTCGGGTGCCGAGCGGGGTGGGCCGGATCAGCTGACTCGCCGGGCTCCGAGCCCCGCCGCCGCGCCGCCGCTCCGTCAGTTTCCTCGGCAGCGGTAGGAGAGCGAGCGCCCGGAGCAGCAGAGCGCGGGGCCACCGGAGACGGCGGCGGCGGCGACACCGGCAGAGCAAGGGCGCGGCGGCTCCTCCTCGCACGGCAGCTCGCTCTGTGCCCCGCGCAGGGTCGCGATGCTGCCCGCTTTGGCACTGGTCCTGCTGGCCGCCTGGACGGCTCGGGCGCTGGAGGTGAGTGCCGCGCCTCGGAATGGGGTGACGGTGGAGGGGGGTGGAGGATGGAGGGGACCGGCTCCCTCTTTCATCCAGAGAAGCGGGGCGATTGGGGGGAGCGATCGAGGGACCCCCTCTCTCGGCTCTGCGCCCTACGCCCCCGCTTGCGGGCGCCCTGCGCATCTCCGCCTCCGCCCCAGCCCTGCCCCGGGGACGCGCTCCGGCCGGCGCAGAGGGATCCGGCGAGGCGTCGGGCCCCGGGGTCCGCGCCAGTGTGGCGAGGCGCGAGTCGAGGAGGAGGCTCTCTTAGGCTCAGACCCTGATTCAGTCCTTTGCTCGGGGCCGGGGGAGGCGAGAGACATTCAGATGGGGGTTGGGGCGGTGGGGGGCGAGAGAACACGTGGGGAAAACCGAAAACGCAAGAGTCCCTGTATTCTGTCCCCAGCTCTTAATCGCTGCCCTTTCCTTTCTGTCGGGCCCTGGGGAGGAGTCGGGACGGCTCGGGGAAGCTGGGCACCCCCACCCCACCCCCTCGCGTCCCTTGGCCTTTTCCGCCCGCTTTCACCTTCCTTTCGCATCCCCACCACCCCTTCCTCTCCAGACCTCTTCCTCCTCCCTCTTCGCGGAGGCCCCCGAGGGCGACCCCAAGGAGGGTCGCGCATCGCCCTCCGCGGGCAAACTTTGTGTCTCTCGGCGTCTCCCTTTTGTGTTAAGTTGCGAGAGAAGGGAGGGGTCGGAGACCCACAGCCACCTCGCACCTTCCCCAAGCCTAGACATCCAGGGCGTTCGCGCGCACCCTCAGATTCAACCGGAGAGGGAGAAGGTCCCCGGGAACAAAGCCGCGACACCCCGCCCTCGCCAGCCCCGGGGCGCGGTGGTCTGGGCGCCACCGAGCGTCCCGCCTGACTCCCTTCCCCGCGCTGCGCGGCCGTCCCGGAGGGGGCTGGGGCGCTGCTGGGGACGCGCTGGCGGCGCCTCGGAAGCCCTCCTCTTCCCCTCCTCCCCCCATCATCTCCGAGGCTGGCTCGTTCTTTTCTCGGTTGCAAAGTCCTTGGGGGAAAAATACGCGGAGAGTGCGGCGTGCGTCTGGAAAGGGCAGGGGCGGGTGGCGGGGCTGCGCGAGTTCTCCCCTCCTGTGCATCAAACGAGGCGTTTGTCGGATCGAGGCGCGGCCACTTCCCTGGCAGCGCTGGGCACTGTGATTTACCTCCCCCCGGGGGGCGCGGGCTGCTGGGGAGGGTCCTCGGGGTCATTTTTTTTTTTTAGGGTGCAGATAAAAGGCTGGAAATTGAGCGAAGATTAAGACGGAGAAGATGGCGCCTCTGCAGTGCAGCAAAGGAAAGCTGTGGAGGCTGCAGCTTGGGAAATCCACCCACCACTAGGTGTATATAGCCAGTCTGCCCCATTCATCCAACTCTCCGACATTCAGCTGGCGCCTGTGCCAGATCACCGTTTTCCTTTTTATCTGAAGATGCTTGGAAGTTGTTTGCTTGACAGCTGGGGCAGAAAAGGTCGTAATTTTGCTTCGTTCGGGTTTCCATTCGGTATTTTACCATTCGTCACCTCCCTTCCCAGTTTTAACCCCGGCCTTTTCCCCTTCCTCATGGTAATTTTCCCAAAAAAACAATTTCTGGACAAATGTTTTCCTGTAATTTCACTGAGACTGTATTGACTGTCACACCATGACAGCGTTTTAGTTCCTAATTTACAAGGTCACTGAACTTTTTCCTCTTTTACCTACGAGTGGCTCAAGAATCACCTCGGGGCTCGTTAAGGCAGATAGTTTTAAGAGTTGAAGAATTTGGTTTTTCTGTTTTAAAAAATGCGCCTAATTAAGGGAGCTAGGCTTTTCCCAGTACTTAAAATCTACTCCTACAGTTATTTCAGTTTTCTCATTGTCTTAATACACGTTGAAAGACACAAATTAAGTAATTAAAAGCCTTTATAGTTGAAGCTTTTGTCAAAAAATAGATGTTTAAGTTTTCTGAGCAGTATTTTTTTCTGTGTGAAAGGAGGCAAATATGATGCAGATTCCTTTTTCAGCCTGTTTGCAGTTTTTGCTCCCATCTTTTTGGACATTTTCACTGGTTACTGTCACCTCCTTCAAACGGTGGAGGTGAGATGCATGTTAAATTCATTTTGCAAAGCCTTAATGAAAAGGTAGGCAGTTAACTCTGATGAGGTTTGAGGGGATTTATGCAGCTAAGTCACTGTCCACTGAAAAGATGTTGATTATGACTTAACTGTCTTTTGTAGGGCTTAGAAAATAGGTCTGCTGATGATGACTTGAGACAAGAAATGAATAAGGGCAATGATCATGGGGGGCTTGGCCTCTGGGAAAAGCATCATTACCCGAGCTGATGATTTTCCCTGGTACAGTGACAGAGTATGAGTTAAAAAGGCCCTGACATTTATTTAAACTTGCTTCCTCTTAAATTTATTTTCCAGTATTGTGGAGTTTAACCTAATTCACAAGTATCTGCTTCGATCGTGGTGCTAATTCAAAGATTATGGATACCTACTCACACTGGTCAGAACAGCCCTAACGGTGGATGCCTGGGCTCACAATCATGAAGCTCAGATGTGATGGTGAGCTGTAAGGAGTCAGCGCTTCTGGCTGACAGTGGGAAGCCATGATAACCATAGGGCACCCCAGCGGCTGTCCTGCCATCCTATTGAGCAGAGGTGCCTGATGGGCACCTGGGAGGCCTTTAGTACTGCAGAGAAGTACTCCAGACAGAATAATGATCCCTGGTTCTGACCGGTGAAATAAAGAAAAACACATAACTAAATAGGTCACAAGGTTAAATTAGAAATGATTGAAAAGAAAGGTTGTGGTCCATTGACTATTGATTTGAAGGAAAACACAACAGACTCATGTAGAGAACAGACTTGTGATTGCAAAGGGCTAAGGGGAGGGAGGGGGCTGGACTGGGAGACTGGGACTGGCAGATGAAACCTATTATATGTAGGATGGATAGTAACAGCTCCTACTGTGTAGCACAGGGAATTATGTTCAGTACCTTGCAGTAAACAATATGGAAAAGAAAAAAGAGGAAAATGTAGAGGTAATACTCATGAAAAAGGCTTTCTCCCTTTTGCTAGAGGGTCTCTGTTTTATGTTACTGTTTATGGTGTACTAGAGACTTCTATGCAGATATTTGTATGAAGATGAAGCTGTCAGTCATTCTTGAAATATTGTACCTTTCCTGTGGCTGTTGAAGAGCATGGTAAAATTCAATAGAAATCTACAGTCTCTTTCTACACATTCGATCTAGGTGGGGATATGTATTACTTTAAGAGACTTAGAAAGCATCTTCTATTAATATACTTCTCTAATCTCTGCCTAGTTGTATCAGTTACCAATGCAAAGGTAAACTTTATACATGTACTTTATAAATAAAGCTCTAGGATGTAAGGTTTACTTTGACTTGCATACCATATTCTCCTGTTCCCAGGAAGTTTGTACAGTAAATAAGACAGGCACATGATTATAAAAGAAAACAAAATGTTAAGTACCAGGAGGAAAGTACTGATTAAGTGGTATACTGAGTAAAAGTATTAACAGTATAGACATCTGTATATAAGGAATAAAGGAACCATGGGATGAGATAATCCTCGAGAATTTCCTGATGATTCCTTTCCAGCCAGATTTGTATCTTAGGTTTGGGGAAGGGAGGTTAAGTCTTTGCATTTATAGTATCTGTTTACATACCTCTTTCGCGAACACATACCCCTGAGGATGTGGGCAGAGCCAGTGTGGGATCTGATTTTCCTTGTGTCCCCATTTATTCATTAGGGCCATTTTAAGTTGAGTCTCTTGGGGCCAAGCTCTGGTCTGTAGCTCTGAAGATAGCGTGGTGAACAAAAACCGTCCCTTGCTTCAGGAAGCTTCCAGTCTAGTGGGGAAGACAGAGGATAAACAAATCATCCTACATGTGTGCTCATGAACTGTGACAGATGGTGAGACGGATGGCAAAGGTGTAGGTTACACTCTGGAGAGGAGTGTCTGCCTAGAAGCTAAATTGTGTCCGACTCTTCGCCACCCTGTGGACTGTACCACACCAGGCTTCTCGGTCTGGGGGATTTCCCAGGCAAGAGTACTGCAGTGGGTTGCCATCTCCTTCTCCCTGGGATCTTCCTGACCCAGGGATCGAACCCAGGTCTCCTGCCTTGGCAGGCAGGTTCTTTACCCCTGAGCCACCAGGGGGGCCCGGGAGAGGAATAGGGAATTGCAAATAAGGATTGAGAGGCCAAGAGCTCTGATGCAGCATCTTCATTAGAACCTTGACTGAAGAAGTGGGTACCCGATGAGAAAACTGATTCATGGGGCAGCAGCAAGGAACATGGGGAAAAGAAAATATTTCTTTTTTGATTGTTTTCTTGGTGCTTTTCTACCTCTTCATGTTCCACTTGACTATGAAATGGTTTTCTTTTCATAGTAGGACCTCACATGCTTGTGGAAGTATTCCTCCATACATTCTAACATATGTGCTGAGTGGGAATTGATACACCATCTTCTGCAAATCCTTGGGGATGCTGTCACCCTGGGTCTTAATGGTTTGTATACAGAGACACCCTCCTCTGGGGCTGGAGGAAGACAGGGTGGCAGGCAG